TGCGCCCGTGAGTGAATCGCGAAGACGTCTCGAGCGGGAGCCTCTCGATATGAGCTCCCCACCTCCATGTTCGAATCCGATCGGGTCATCCAGACCGTGTAAGTGTCGTTCCGTTTGGGTTCCACAAATTCGAAAGTGGAGGAAGTGTCGAGCAGGAGTTTCGTTTGTGAGTGAATCGCTAGGAAATCTCGAACAGGAACACCTTCCTTATGGGGTACCCGCCTCCATGTTCGAATCCGAGCGTTTCCTACAGATCCGATAATGTTCGTCACTTTGGGTTCCCCCATGCATAGATCTGGAGGAGACCTAGAGCGGGAGATTCGTCCGCGAGTGAATCGCGAAGAAGTCCCGAGCGGGAACCCATTTGCTACGGGGTCCCCGCCTCCATGTTTCAATCCGAGCGGGCCATCGCATCCTGTAACCTTTAGACGTGTTCGGGCTCCTTAGGCCTGGGTCTTGAGGAAGCCTGGGGCGAGAGCTTCGTTCGTCAGTGAATCGCGAGGAAGTCCCGAGCAGGGGGGCCCTTGTCTACGGGGTCCCCACCTCCATGTCTGAACCCGACCGAGTCATCTAGATCCCGTAACTGTACTTGCTCACTGTCGGGCTCCCCAGCATTGGATTTGGAGGTAGCCTGGAGCGGGGGCTTCTTCCGTGAGTGAATTGCAAGGGGAAGTCGAACGGGGAGCCCTTGTCTACGGGGTCCCCACCTCCACGCTCGAATCCGAGCGGGCCATCCAGATCTTGTAACTGTACTTTCTCACTTTCGGGCTCCCCAGGCTTGCATGTGAGGGAAGCCTAGAGCGGGAGCTGCGTCCGTGAGTGCATCGCGAGGAAGTCTTGAGCGGGAGCCCCTTCCCCACGGGGCCTCCGCCTCCACGTTCGAATCCGAGCGGCTCGTCTTGATCCCCTAGCTGCACTTGCTCACTTTCGGGCTCCTCAGGCCTGGCTTTGGAGGAGGCCTGGAGCGGGAGCTTCCTCCGTGCGCGAGCCGCCAGGAGGTCTCGAGCGGGAACCCCTTCTCTGTGGGCCCCCCTCCTCGGCGTTCGCACCCGTCGCCGCGAGAGGCACTAGCGCGCGCCTCAGCGGTCGGCCCCGCGCACCGGCGACGGACGAGGAGGGCCCCCAAACGGGGCGGTGACCGCACCGTGTGGCATCGTCCTCCTCCTCCTGCTCCTGCTCCTCCTCCTCCTCCTCCTCCTCCTCCTCCTCCTCCTCCTCCTCCTCCTCCTCCTCCTCCTCCTCCTCGTGTGGTGAGGGATTCGGGGTCACCGCACGGTTTTGGGACTCGGGTCGTTCTCCGAGGACGTCTCGGGCGACTGGGGCATCCGAAGTCCCACAACCGTGCGGTGACGGACCGTGCGGTGAGGTCTTCGGGGATTCCGAGGTCACCGCACGGTCTGCCACCGCACAGCTTCGGGACTCCACAGAGATGGAGGAGGCCGGCGAGCCGCGGACTGGGTTATTCTCGCCCCCGGATGGCCACTAGCGTTTGCCTTTGCTCATGGCACAGCCGTTTCTGCACCCGTCCGCGGCCTAAGGTGTGTGTTTCGTCTAAGTTCCGCGTCACCCCAACATACTCGTGTTATGTGTGCGTCGCCCCCGTAGGGGCGACGCGCGCGCACAGAAATCCTATAGTATATGCGGCGTGTCGGGCGCTTTCTGGCCACACCGCTCGGGAAACGATGTACTACAAGATTGTTGTGCTGTATGTTCGGGTCGGACGCGTGCCTCCAAGGAGGACGTATCGTACTAGTGCGCCCCTGTGCGTCCCATAAGTCGGCGATTTTTTTTCCCGGAAAGGGCTCGAGCCCAGGGTTCTCTTTTAGATGGTTTACCCCCCGGTTTCGACGGCTGTAGGGCCGGCGAAATTATTCTGCGATAAATTACGTGCGGGAGTAGGGCCGGCGGAATTATTTTTGAGGACGTCTCGAGCGAAACGCTTGTTTGTCAGAATGTGTTGAGGATGTCTCGAGCGAAATGCTGGTTTCGCAGAGTTGGGGATGTCTCGAGCGAAACGCTTGGTTTCAGAATTTGTTGAGGATGTCTCGAGCGAAACGCTGGTTTTGCAGAGCCGACCGCGACACGGAAAAGCGCCCCTCGCGCAGGAATTCTGAGGATGTCTCGCGCGTGCCGCGTCCCGCGCGCAGGAATCTAGATTTCTTGTGATTTTGAAAGTATGTCTTGAGCGAAACGCTTGTTTTTCATAATTTGTTGAGGATGTCTCAAGCGAAATGCTGGTTTTGCAGAGTTGGGGGATGTCTCGAGCGAAACGCTTTCTTTTCAGAATTTGTTGAGGATGTCTCGAGCGAAACGCTGGTTTTGCAGAGTTGGGGTATCTAACATGGCGTCGGGCCCAACGCCGAATTATGAGGAAAAGTGATGGCTTCTTGCTCTGAACATGGGGGGTGCGCTTTGGGGGCCTCTCCATGGAAGACGTTGTGAGGATGTCTCGAGCGGGAGCGCGAATTCAGCGTATCCAAGTCACGCAGAGGGGTATCTAACATGGCTGTCCCGAGCTGGAACCACGTGTTTTTTCATGCTCAGGCCACCCAGGGAGATCTCTAACATGACTGTCCCGAGCTGGAACCACGTGTTTCACGTGTCCAGGCCACCCAGGGGGTATCTCTCATGGTTGTCCCGAGCTGGCACCGTGTTTTTACGTGCCCAGGCCACCAACACGACGCTTGTCTCCAGCACGTTCTGTAGCGCGTCCCCTTGGCACGTCTCGCGGTGCGTCCCCGTGGCACGTCCCCTGGCACGTCGCCTAGCGCGTCCCTTGGAACGTTCCGCGGCGCGTCTTCCTGGCATAATTCCTTGTCAATTAGCTCTGCGGCAGCTACTTCGTGGACTATGTGCTCAGGCAGCTCGAGCTTAAGATCCAGATCAGTTCGGTCAGGACTCGGATGCAACGGAGGACTTGATCCACAACGCTGTAGAGCACAATCGCGGCATGGCACATCGCAGTTCAGCACGGGGCAGCAAAGCACAGCCCTCGGCACATTACATCAAGATCGGTACACTCACTCAGCATTGCAACTTGGCACGTTCTTTGGCACGTTCCGTGGCGCGTCCTGTGGCGAGTCCCCCTGGCACGTCGCGCGGCGCGTCCCCTGGCACGTCCCGTGGCACGTCCATAATGCATTGGCACGTTCCGTAGCGCGTCCCCTTGGCACGTCCCGCGGTGCGTCCCCATGGCACGTCCCCTGGCACGTCGCCTGGCGCGTCCCTTGGAACTTTCGGCGGCGCGTCTTCCTAGCATGCCCCCCGTGAATTAGCTCTGGGGCAGCTACTATGTGCTCAGGCAGCTCGAGCTTAAGATCCAGATCAGTTCGGTTAGGACTCGGATGCAAAGGAGGACTCGATCCACAACGCTATAGAGCACAATCGTCACGTGGCACATCGCAGTTCAGCACGGCGCAGCACAGCACAGCCCGCGGCACGGTACATCAAGATCGATACACTCACTCAGCATTGCAACTTGGCACGTTCTTTGGCACGTTCCGTGGCGCGTCCTGTGGCGAGTCCCCCTGGCACGTCGCGCGGCGCGTCCCCTGGCACGTCCCGTGGCACGTCCATTGGCACGTTCCGTAGCGCGTCCCCTTGGCACGTCCCGCGGTGCGTCCCCGTGGCACGTCCCCTGACACCTCGCTTGGTGCGTCTCTTGGCACGTCCCGTGGCACGTCCATTGGCACATTCCGTAGCGCGTCCCCTTGGCACGTCCCGCGGTGCGACCCCATGGCACGTCCCCTGGCACGTCGCCTGGCGCGTCCCTTGGGACGTTCTGCGGCGCGTCCTCCTGGCATGTTCCCTTGTCAATCAACTCTGGGGCAGCTACTAGTTATGTGCTTAGGCAGCTCGAGGTTAAGATCCAGATCAGTTCGGTCAGGGCTCGGATGCAAAGGAGCACTCGATCCACAACGCTATAGAGCACACTCGTGGCATGGCACATCGCAATTCAGCACGGCACAGCACAGCACAGCCCTCGGCACGGTACATCAAGGTCGATACACTAAGCATTGCATTTGCCCGTCGCCCAATCAGGTGTCTTTGAAACGTTGCCATGTTTTACATTTCTATATTCCTTTCCGGGTTCGTGGGTCGATCATGTTAGCACCAGCACCAACGCTTCAGGCTCAGGCCCGTAGTTCGCGCAGCGTCAAACAGAGGAGGCCTGCGGGAAGGAGGCGCCCCAGTGGAGGCGGTGCTGGCCCCTCGGAGAGAGTCAGCGCCCGTGCCTCTGCAGGAGAGACGCCATACTCCTCCCCTGTCGTTTGCAGTTCCTGCTCGTCCTGTTACTTACTCCTCCCCTTCGTCCTCCTTTGCCATCTCCTCTTCCTGCTTCTCCTCCTCTTCCTCCTTCTGCTCCTCCTCCTCGTCCTCCTCCTCCTCCTCTTCCTCCTTCTCCTCCTCCGTTCTCTCCTCCCCCTCCCCCTCCCCCTCCCCCTCCTCTCCCTACTCCCTTTCCTCCTCCCTTTCCTCCTCCCTTTCCTCCTCCTCCTCCTCCTCCTCCTCCTCCTCCTCCTCCTCCTCCTCTTTCATGAGGGAAGCGGGTCCTGAGGGACACGGGTCCTGAGGTTTGTCGTTGCTTTCGAGTTCTCACGAGGTCCTCCACGGGTTCCGGTGCTGTCAGAAAACAGCTCATCCCTCGGGACCCGTTGCCCCCATGCTGAAGGAGGGACGGGGGGAGGAGGTGGAGGGGGGGAGAGGCAGGAGGATCAGGAGGAGGCAGAGCAGAATAGACGCAACAAGTACCGTTCTTCATGTCTTATCAACGCCCAAAAGAGCAGAACAAAAGGCGGGAGGAGGGCCTTCCTGTGGACCCTCAGCGGCCTCTGCCACTTCATGTGCATCTGCATCTTTCTGAGTGTTTGTGTCTGCGCCTGTGCCTGCTGGCTTTTCTGTGCCTGTCTCTGTCCCCGTGTCGCTCTCTCGAGTGGTATTGCTTGTTTTCTCAGCTTCCGGGATTTGGGCTTAGCTTTTGTCGGCCGTGGGCATCCCAGGACTGGCAGGTGGGCAGCCACCACCTGGCACGACGACACTGCCGCGACCATCCCGGAACCTGTGCGGGTGAGCCTCGACAACCAAGGCACCGCAGTCTTTCTCTGGGATTGCCTGGCAACGCCAGAGAATATGAACTATACACTATACTCGATGGTCGTTAAAATGATGTATCGAAGACGCCTACGGCGAACCTCCGCCGCGCCCTGCCTTTTAGGATACGCCCACGAGGCCAAACATTTCGGCAAAGTTTGGCCCTTCTTATCGGACCATACGTCCCCCCAGCCATTTTGGAAGCCCTTCGGGGAACACGTGGGGGAGGACGAGGATGTCGAGGAGGAGAGGGAGGAAACAGGAGAACAAGCGCAGCGGCAGGATGAGGCCTCACGGGAGCTTCTGGGGCCACTCTTGGGGCCTCCTGGGAGCTTCCTGGGAGCTTTTTCGATGTCCTTGCGGTCCTCCTTGGGCCTTCGGGGGCTTCTTGGGGGTCTATTTGGTTGTCTTACGGTGTTCCTGGCCCGTCTGACGCCGTTGGAGGCAGTTTTTTTGATGCCTCTCTGGACCGACTCGGGGCTCTCTTGGTGCGCTGAGGAGGCCATCTTGGATCATCTTGGGCGAATTCAGAGGCACTCTTGGGGCAGTCTTGCAGGCGTCTTGGGCCGTCATGCGGTCATATAGGCGGCTTATGTAGCCATCTTGGGGCGATCTTGGGGACCTCTTGGGCCGTCCGAAGGCCGAAAAGAAGCAGATGCCAACATCTCTCAGATACCTAGAGCAAGCCAATGCTTTTGGCCTTCTCGGGCACTCCTGGGAACCTCGTCGAGGCCTCTGGGGCCGTCTTGGATGCTGGTTAGGCGCTTCTTGGGCCGTCTTGGAAGCTTCTTGGGCGGACTTGGAGGTATCTTGGACCCTCTCGGGCCGTCCTGGATGGCATCGTGGACCCTCGTGGGCCGTCCTAGAGGTCATCTTGGACCATCTTGGGCGAACTGGGAGGCCGCTTGTGGCCGTCTTGGAGGCCTCTTGGGCCGGCATGAGGTCATCTTGGAGGCCTCCGGGTCCATCTTGTGGCGATCTTGGGGGCCTCTTGGGGCATCTTGAGCTGTCGGAAGGCCGAAAAGAAGCAGATGCCCAAACCCTGCACAAACGCCTGAAGAAAATTATCCTGGCGAGGGACCCAACCATGTGCAGTTGTGAGTGACGCAGTTGTGGGCATCGACCTCGGTGAACCTCTCTGGGGTCACGACGCGTGTGACGTGGTGCGCCAAAATTGGCACGGGTACGCCATGCGGACGCTGCCACCAGAGCCGTCGGTGGAGCACCCTATGGGGCCGCGGAACGTGTGAGGGGTGCGCCGAAATGGGGGTGGAACTGCATGCGGACCCTGCCACTGGGGCCTTCGGCGGAGCACCCTATGGGGGCCACGAAACGTGTGAGGGGTGTGCCGAAATGGGGGGGTGGAACTGCATGCGAACGCAGCACTGTGGCTTTCGGTGGAGCTCCCTATGGGGCCACGAAACGTGTGAGGGGTGTGCCGAAATGGGGGTGGAACTGCATGCGGGCGCTGCCGCTGGGGCCTTCGGTGGAGCACCCTATGGGGCCACGAAACGTTCGAGGGGTGCGCCAAAATTGAGGTGGAACTGCATGCGGACCCTGCAACTGGGGCCTTCGGCGGAGCACCCTATAGGGGCCACGAAACGTGTGAGGGGTGCGCCGAAATGGGGGTGGAACTGCATGCGGACCCTGTCACTGGGGCCTTCGGTGGAGCTCCCTATGGGGGCCACGAAACGTGTGAGGGGTGCGCCGAAATGGAGGTGGAACTGCATGCGGACCCTGCCACTGGGGCCTTCGGTGGAGCTCCCTATGGGGCCACGAAGCGTTCGAGGGGTGCGCCAAAATTGAGGTGGAACTGCATGCGGACCCTGCCACTGGGGCCTTCGGCGGAGCACCCTATAGGGCCACGGAACGTGTGAGAGGTGCGCCGAAATGGGGGTGGAACTGCATGCTGACCCTGCCACTGGGGCCTTCGGCGGAGCACCCTGTGGGGCCACGAAACGTGTGAGAGGTGCGCCGAAATGAGGGTGGAACTGCATGCGGACCCTGCCACTGTGGCCTTGGGTGGGGCTCCCTATGGGGCCGCGGAACGTGTGAGGGGTGTGCCGAAATGGGGGTGGAACTGCATGCGGACCCTGCCACTGGGGCCTTCGGCGGAGCACCCTGTGGGGCCACGAAACGTGTGAGGGGTGCGCCGAAATGGAGGTGGAACTGCATGCGGACCCTGCCACTGGGGCCTTCGGCGGAGCACCCTATAGGGGCCACGAAACGTGTCAGGGGTGCGCCGAAATGGTGGTGGAACTGCATGCGGACCCTGCCACTGGGGCCTTCGGCGGAGCACCCTATAGGGGCCACGAAACGTGTGAGGGGTGCGCCGAAATGGGAGTGGAACTGCATGCGGACCCTGCCACTGAGGCCTTCGGTGGAGCTCCCTATGGGGGCCACGGAACGTGTGAGAGGTGCGCCGAAATGGGGGTGGAACTGCATGCGGACCCTGCCACTGGGGCCTTCGGTGGAGCTCCCTATGGGGCCACGAAACGTGTGAGAGGTGCGCCGAAATGGAGGTGGAACTGCATGCGGACCCTTCCACTGGGGCGTTCGGCGGAGCTCCCTATGGGGCCACGAAACGTGTGAGGGGTGCAGCGAAATGGGAGTGGAACTGCATGCGGACCCTGCCACTGGGGCCTTCGGTGGAGCACCCTATGGGGCCACGAAACGTGTGAGGGGTGCGCCGAAATGGGGGTGGAACTGCATGCGGACCCTGCCACTGGGGCCTTCGGCGGAGCACCCTATAGGGGCCACGAAACGTGTGAGGGGTGCGCCGAAATGGGGGTGGAACTGCATGCGGACCCTGCCACTGGGGCCTTCGGTGGAGCTCCCTATGGGGCCACGAAACGTTCGAGGGGTGTGCCGAAATGGGGGTGGAACTGCATGCGGACCCTGCCACTGGGGCCTTGGCGGAGCACCCTATAGGGCCACGGAACGTGTGAGGGGTGCGCCGAAATGGGAGTGGAACTGCATGCGGACCCTGCCACTGGGGCCTTCGGCGGAGCACCCTGTGGGGCCACGAAACGTGTGAGGGGTGCGCCGAAATGGGGGTGGAACTGCATGCGGACCCTGCCACTGGTGCCTTGGGTGGAGCTCCCTATGGGGGCCACGAAACGTGTGAGGGGTGCGCCGAAATGGAGGTGGAACTGCATGCGGACCCTGCCACTGGGGCCTTCGGCGGAGCACCCTATGGGGCCACGAAACGTGTGAGGGGTGCGCCGAAATGGGGGTGGAACTGCATGCGGACCCTGCCACTGGGGCCTTCGGCGGAGCACCCTATGGGGGCCACGAAACGTGTGAGGAGTGCGCCGAAATGGAGGTGGAACTGCATGCGGACCCTGCCACTGGGACCTTCGGCGGAGCACCCTATGGGGCCACGAAACGCTGTACTCGGTGGGTGAAACGCAGGGAGGAGGGAGAGGAGCAGGAGGGAGGGGGGCAGCGGGAGGTGGGAACGCGGGGCGCTGTCTCTTCAAAACGAGGACCCAACACCACAGGATGGTTTTTTTTGAAAAAACATGATGTTGACCTCTTCGGGCTCTCCTGGAGGACCCCTTGGAGGCCACTCGGGACGTCGTGTAAGCCTCTTGGGGGCCTCTAGGAGCCATTTTGGGCCGTCTGGGTGGCTTCTTGGGCGGACTTGGAGGCCTCTGGGACCCTCCTGGGCCGTCTTGGAGGCCATCTTGGCAGTATTGGAGGCCATCGTGGTCGTCTTGGAGACGTTGCTTGCGCAGCGGCGGGGCCTTCCGGTCGGCTGGCGGCATGGACCGAAGCCCCAGGGAGAGTTTTTTCGGAAACAAGCCAAGACCAAACCGTAGGACCTAGCACGCGAGGCACTCTTGTGATATCGAAGACGCTTACGGCAAATCTCCGCCGCCCCCTGCCTTTTTGGAAGCGCCAATGTGGCCGAACGCTGAGGCCAGACCTGCCAAGCTATCGGACCAGGTGCTCCCCGAATCGGCTTGGAAAGCTTTCGGGGAACACGTGGGCATCTTGAAGGTCATCTGGGCCGCCAGGAGGCCATTCTGACCCTTTCGGGCCTTCTTGGAGGACGTCTTGGAGGGCTCATGGGCCGTCTTGGAGGCCATCTTGAGCGTCTTGGAGGCCTCTTGGGCCGTCTTGGGGGCCTCTTGGGGGCCTCTTGGGGCCGTCTTGGGCCTCTTGGGCGATCGTTGGGGGCATTTGGGCCGTCTCGGGCCGTCGGAAGGCCGAACAACAAGCAGACGCCACAACCCTTCAACAATTCATGGAAAATCAATGGTTTTGGCCTTTTCGGGCCTTCCTGGAGGCCCTCTTGGAGGCCTCTTGGGCCGTCTTGGGCCATCTTAGTGCCATCTTCGGCCGTCTTGGTGGGCCCCTGGTCCGTCCGACGCCATCGGAAGCCATTAGGGGGGCCTCTCTGAGCCGACTTGGGGCCCTCTTGGAATGCTCCAGGGCCGTCTTGGAGGCCATCTTGGGCGTCTTAAAAACCTCCTGGGCCGTCTTGGAGGCCTCTTGAGGCCGTCTTTGGGGCCTCTTGGGCCGTTCTGGGGCCATCTTGGAGGCATCTTGGGCGATCTTTGGGCGATCTTTGGGGGCTCGTGGACCGTACCGGGCCGCCATAAGGCCGAAACGAAGCAAATGTCAAAATCCTTAAAACACGCATGGACAACTCGTGTTTTTGGCATTTTCTGGCCTTCCTGGAGGCCCTCTTGGAGGCCTCTTGGCCCGTCTTGGGCCAGCTGCGAGCCAACTTCGGCCATCTTGCTGGGCTCCTGCCCCGTCTGACGCCTTCGGGAGCCGTTTGGGGGGCCTTTCTGGGCCGACTTGGGGCTCTCTTGGGGTGCTCCAGGGCCGTCTTCGAGGCCATCTTGGGTGTCTTGGAGGCCTCTTGGGTCGTCTTTGTGTCCTCTTGGGGCAGTCTTGGGGGCCTCTTGGGCAGTCCTGAGCATCTTGGAGGCCTCTTGGGCGCTGTGGGGGCGATATTGGGGGCCTCTTGGGCCGTCTTGG